TACTGCGCAGGAGGAATTCATGGAGCTGCTGGAGCTGCTGGTGTCCCGCGCTCGCACCTACGTGCCCTCGCTGGCTGCCATGGAGGAGTTCCACCTGAGCCTCTCGCAGTGCGTGGTGCTGCGCTACCACTGGATAGACCTCTTCGTCCGCTCCCTCAGGGAGCGCCTGGCTGCCTTCCACAGGTAGGGCCGGGACAGCTCTCCCTGCACCCCTCCTCTGCCCTCGGGGTCTGTGTTTCACCAGCATCCACACCCTAAGGCATCCCTGGCAGCCCGTGCTGGCAGACCAGTGAAACCCTGGGGAGTTTTCTCCTTGCCTTGGGATTTGGCACCAGACAAGTCAGGTCTTGGCTTTTAAGGATGAGGCCAGACCTCTGCCATTCTCCAAATCATGGGTGGTTTTGTTGCTTACATCTGGCTCAGGTGCCTGCTGAGCATCAGCTGCTTCAGGTCTTCTGTCACAATCCAGGCTCCAGAGAGCTGGAAATCAGAGGGGAATGGATTAATTTGAGAAAGGTTCTGGTTGTACTGATTCAGTCCAATTGCAGCCTGTATCCTTCCACAGCTTAGTAGAAATCCTGCCCCTTCCTCTTCTGCTTTTTTCTTTTTCTTTTTTTTTTTGTTTCTCGACAGCTGAAATATGATATTTCTTCTTTCAGGTTCTTCTGCGTGGCTGACCAAGTGAAGGTTTACACCAACCAGAACAAAACCAGGTGAATGCACAGTGGGGCAGCCTCCCTGCCTGCTTGGGGAGAAGGCTGGGCAAGGTGCTGGGTGGATGGGAAGCGTCACCCTGCGTGCCCCATAGTGACTGAGCCGTGTGACAGCGCAGTATGCAATTACCTTGTTTCCAGAGGTTTCACACCTTTCCCCAGCCACTTGCACAAATTTTTAGCTGTGGTTCAGATTCTCTGCAAGCTGTTGGTCTCATTAGTGGTGAGTGAACCTCAGGCTGCAGGATTTCAGCCTTCTGAAGAGAGATGTGCTTGCACCATGACCTGAGGCAGGTCTTTCTGCTGCGGTTAGATTCGTGCTATGGTTTCGCAGCAGCTGAGGGAGGCAGCTGTGTTCGCTGCCATCTCCCATCTGGTTTGTTCAGCAGCTTCACAAACCTTTGTGCCAGCATGTGCAGCCTGGGGCTAGCAGAGCTGGGACCACCCTCTTTGGCAGCAGTGCCAGTTATGAAATTGTAGAGCAGATCTTCCAAGAGCTGGAGAGAAATAGCTGAGATGGTGCTAATTCTCTTGGGCGTCAGCTCATAAGCCTGATTCCAATAGAATGCAATTAAGTAGTTTAAATGTCAAAGCAAAGGTGATTAGAATTGTGAAAAGATGCTGAATCTAGCAGGGAAAGGCAGCCCAAGATAGTCATGGGTGGGACAATGTGGATATGGATCCCGGGTGTCCCTACCCTAAGACTAAGTGATTCTAGAAAGTGTCATCCCAGCAGTCCTTAGGAGGTACCTCTTTGTCACATCTCTCTAGCTTGGCACTTTCTGTTTCCTGCTTCCTCTCCCACCATAAAACTGCTTCAGCAACTTCCACTTTTTGGATGCAGCTCCTGTATGGGCACAGCAGTCTGCTGAAATTCCCATCCAGTGTGTCCTTTGCCTGGAAAATGAGTTCTCATGTTCCAAAAGGTGTTGGGTCAATCTAGTAAGTCTACATGGTATGTCACCCAGTCCTGCTTCTCCCTGCTTTATTTCTCTTTTTCTTCAGAATATGGTCATTGTCCTTGGATGCTTAAACCTGGCATTCCTCAAATTTTCTTTTGTTGGGGAGTAGGGAATTTGCTGGGTAGGAATGCAGGGCTAAGTATGCTTACAGTTCTGCTTTCTGCAGCGTGTAAAGGTGGTTGCTGTCTCTCCTTGTCTTTCTTTAGGACCTTTATTGGCTTGGAGGTCTCTGCTGGGCATTTCCAGCTGCTGGAGCTAGTCTCGGAGGTGGACAGAGTTCTGGAGGAATTTGACCTTCCCACATTCTACAAGGTGAGGCATCTCCCACTTAGTTCTCTGCCAGTCTGGACATGCCAACTGGTTCCCTGCAAGATGTTCTCTCAAATAAACAGGAGCCAGAGCATAAGTCACAGTTGCTGCACCACTGTACATGAATGAAGGATTGTCCTAGGATAAAATGGAAACTATGGAACTGAAGGAAATGCTTGTGCCTTTTCCTTGAGCAGTTTGCTTGGGCATCAGTCCAGCCTCTTGGTACTAGCTTTGGGGACAGGTTTGGGATTTTGAGGGGCTAAACCTCAATTTGTCTGTCTCCAGAGCTGAGCTGAGTGGGTTATTCAGAAGTGACCCACCTCCAACTCCAAGACCAGCACTGAGACTCCCAGCTTCAGGATACTCTGACCGCTGTGATCCCAGACAGGCAGCATAACACCACCTTTCCCGCTCTGACTCTGTGTGTTGAGCAAAGCCTCTTTAGCCCTAACAATCTGATCCCTGTTTTGTTTTCAGGACCCATCATTCCACATCAGCTTGGCCTGGTGTGTTGGGGACCTATCTGGCAAGCTGGAAGGGCAGTGTCTACGGGAGCTCCAGGTGTGTCCCCATGCAGTGTGGAGAACAAGGGAAGGGCAGAGCTGGTGTCCAGTCATGTCTCCCTGCTGAGGATGGAGAGTGGGAAATTCACTGAGCAAGACAAGCTTCACTGGGTTGAAAGAACACAAGCTTTTGGGGGAGCATGAGTTAAATCACTCTCCAGAGGGAAGTCAGAGGCTTCCAGCCACAAATGGCCTCATCTCTGATTTGGTTCAGAGAGGGAGCTGCTGACTCCATCCTCTGGCAGATCCACCCTCCTGCTACCAACTCCTCCATCTGTTTTCCAGGACATTGTGGACGGGTTTGAGGATTCGGCGCTCCTGCTGCGTATCCACTGGGAGCAAATCCGCTGCAAATCAGGGAACAAGTACTTCTCCTTCCCCTTGAGGTAGTGGCTGGTGGGGGCTGTGCATTTCAGAGCCTCGAAGAACCTGATGCTCAGCCAGGCACTGTTCTCCAGCGCAGCTCTGGGCAGTGCAGGCTGTCACGCACCTCCCACGCTCTTCTTGCCTGCTCAGCATCTCTGGAGTGTTTGTGGCCTCAAGTCGGGCCACTTCCAATTTGAGTTGCTGGCTGAAGAAATGTGTGTTTGTAGCAGATTTCATCCTCGCTGCTGTATGTGCTGCAGTCAGCACCGGCGGTTCCAGACATCCCACTGTTGCTAATTTTGCTGATTTTTAAAAAAAAAGAAAAAAACATGTCTATGAAAGCCATAGATGCCGTGTGGGAAGGAGGAAGAAGGTAGCGTGGGAAGCTGTTTCTAAAGGGAGAGTGTCTCACACAGTGGGAAGTAGCATTGCCAGATTGTTGTGAGGCTCTGAGCACACTTCGAGTAGCAAGAGGCAAGGACACAGAGCTGGATTCTCTTGCCAGAGCATCTCCCTACTATAAGCCAGCTTGGACAAGCTCCTGAGTCATGTTCTGTGTCCCTCTCACACTGCTGCTGCCTCTGTAGAGACATTTCAGTGTCTGATCCTTTTGCCAAACAACAAGAGATGCAGTCTGGAGGGGAGAGGTTGGGAAACCCTTGTGTTTTGGTGCTCCAGGCTGGGTCTAAAAGGGCTCTGGTTTAAGACTCTCTGTACCATAAGCCCAGGACTGTTGGTTGGGCCACTTCTCCTGAGGAGCTTGCTGCCAAGTGTGGGCAAGCCCTAGAGTAGGCAGTGTCAGCATTTGCCTGAGCTGGAAGCACTGCCCATGTGTGAGTCAAGGGGTGGCAGTTTCTGCCCAGGTTCCAAGTTTTTCCCCATGGGATCAGCACCCCAGGTGTCATGATGACCCAGGGGGCAGCAGGTTCAATGTTGCACCTTGGAAGAAGCTCCCTTTTAATCCCTTCTCAGGAGCTGGAACTTCTCAGGTATTCAGAGCAGGATGCCAGTGTGCTGCCCTGAATTTTATTCCATGTCTGTCCAGGACTTCCGAGCAGTAAAAAGTCTGTCTCCTCATGTCATAAAGCTGTGTCTGCGGTATATTTCAGCAATTCCCTTTCAGAGATTCCCAACTCCCCCAGGCTTCAGGTGAGGCCATACCTGCAAGTGCTCCTGTGAGCTCGGTGCTGCCTGTCCTGGCACACACTGTGGCTTTGTGTCCGTGGGAGCATCTCCACAGGGTCATGATTTGTGTCCGCGGGAGCACCGCAGCCACAGTCACTGTCTGCCAGCACTGTGCAAGAGCTGCCTTTCAAAATCCTGAACTCAAATCTGTTAGGTCTGTAGCCAGTTAGTTTCCGGGATGGGGATCTGCATGATAATACTGATAACATTTGTGTGATTACACCCCAAGCTTTCTTTTGGGGAAGGAAAACCAAACAAAGGTAGGGATATATTTAGCCCCTGGCAACCTAGAGTGAAACTGAGTGTGGCGTGACTGGTTTCTCCCAGGTTAATACTCAACCACTGGCCCCACTCCCCCCGCGGCAGGGCCCAGCCTGGCACAGCACCCAGTTTTGTAACACCGGTGGGAGTCAGGGACCCCCAGGACAGGGGACAAGGCACAGTGTC